CAGTTTTACTCTTTAAAGTGACAGCTATAAACAAGGTGTTGTTTAATTTGCAAACTTAAAAATTAACAAAATAAACAAAGGACCCTCCAGCTCGTTTTTGACTATTACAATCAATCAAATTAGGCTTTATAAGCATCAGGAAAAATATTATGTGCCTAAAGATCAAGACACAACTAAAAAGTTTTGCTTTTTATCAACACAGCCAGTGGTTTAAGACATTCAGGGCAACCAATCACTTGCTCTGTTTTTTTAGCTTAGATTTCCCATGAGCAAATATTTGCTCTTTTTCCTAGTGATGTAATAGTAATATTGAAAAACATGGCATGTCATCAGTAAAATATGCAAAAAGTATTAAGTAGCATGAATTTTAATAAAGTTGGAGAGATATTACACTTTTCTGAAAAAGACCTTCCCCATCATTCATCCTGGGATAAACTTACAGAGGACTCAGAAAGGTAAACATAATTCTAACTGCAAAGGAGATAGAGAGAAAGACATACAGAACTGGATTTAGAAGCATATATACCTTCCTACCCTTGATTATGTACTAGACACCATGCTCTGCATCCATGTACAGAGAGATCTCATTGCTACTGCTTATCCCAAAACAGGGAAATTAGGCAATGAACAGAAAAAGTACCAGAATACTACATACAGAAACCTTGGTAAAAATTGGATGTCTGCATAAATTATTTTTTTTCTTAAGGTGTTCAACTTCGCTGCTTTTTTTTTTTTAATTAAACATATTTTTCTCTTCTATTTTCTACAAGGGCTGGGAGAAAGGGAAGGGAAGAAGTTGTTCTACATTCATTTAAATTACATGCAAGATTCACTGTAGTACTGAAGGCTTAATTAGTCCACAAAATCCTGTTTTAATTCCAGTATATCTCAGGTGGAAAAAGGCTTCCACATTTGTTTATACTTTTGAAAGAAATGTAACAGCATCCTAGTCCAAGTTACAGATTCATTTTCAGCAACTGCTATAGGAAAATATATGTATAAATTAATGGATATAAAGAGATTCCCATACTCCACTGAATAGTGTTTGTAATCCTGGTGTAAATGGTTCTAATCCTACTCAAGGGCCCTCCTTGGAGAGATTTTGGGGCACATGAAAAGCAGGTCTGAACCCTTTATTACTCTTGCTAGAGGTAAAGATGCTAAGTAAGATGGGCAGCAGCAAATTGGCGAATGAGTTTATTACTTCTCTGTTTATTCAAATTCCTCTCATTTTTCAGCACTACTTTTGTACCGTAATACTCCAAACAATGAGTTAAGATTGGCACTGAAGTTATTTTAAAATCTAAATTAATTGAATAAAATCACCAATAATTTGCATCTATGCTTAATGCAGTCACCCCACCCCTGCACATCACCTTTCCTCAGGCCATAGATAGTTGCTCATGGTTCCTCCCTCCTTGTGCTCTTTTAGGAGCATAAACTCTCCAATTAATATCAGTTTTTCTCCAATACAAGGAGTAATATTAGAGCAATTATATGAATCATTAATAATCACAGAAACACTACCCTAGACAGCAGCATGCAAGAAGTCAGATACAATACTTGCTACTAGAAGAGTCCCTTGCTAACAATGTTTACTGAAGTCAAGTGCTCCCTGTTCATCCTGCATTAGAAATCCTCTTTCCATCTACCAAATACCTCCAACACACCTGTACAAAAGCTTGACTAACCTGATCTCCTATGACAAGGTGACCCACTTAGTGGATGAGGAAAGGCTGTGGATGTTGCCTATCCAGCCTTTAGTAAAGCCTTTGACAGTTTCCCACAGCATTCTGCTGGAGAAACTGGCTGCTCATGGTTTGGACAAATAAACCCTTGGCTGGGTCAAAGATGTTCAGGATGGCCAGGCACAAAGACTTGTGGTGAAAGGTGCTAACTCCAGTTGGCAGCTCATCAGCAGTGGTGCTCCCCAGGGCTAGGGCCAGTTCTGTTTAATATCTTTATCAATGATCTGGATGAGGGGATCAGGTGCACCCTTAGCAAGTCTGCAGATGACACCAAGTTGAGTGGTAGTGTTGATCTGCCTGAGGGCTCCTCTCTCTCTTCCCCTGCTCCAGAATGGGGCCCTTCCCACAGGACAGAATCCTCCATGAACTTCTTCCATGTGAGTCTTCCCACAGGCTACAGTTCTTCATAAACTGCTCCAGCATGACTTCCTTCCACACAGGGCAGTCCTTCTGGAACAGGCTGCTCCAGCACGGGTCCCTCAAGGGGTTACAGCTCCTGTCAGCAAACCTGCTCCCATCTGGGCTTCTGTCCATGGGGTCGTACATCCTGCTAGAAGCCTTCTCCAGTGTCAGAGTCACAGTGGTCTCCTCTGGGTGCATCCACCTGCCTCGATGTAGGGTCCTTCAGGGCTACAGGTGGTTATCTGCTCCACCATTGTCCTCCATGGGCTGCAGGAGAACAGCCTGCCTCACTGTGAACTTCACCAGAGGCTGCAGGAGAAGCTCTGCTCTGGTGCCTGGAGCATCTCCTTCCCCTCCTTCACTTACCTTGGTGTCTGCAGAGTTGCCTTCTCTCACATATTCTCACTCCTCTCTCTGCCTGCTGTTTCACTGCAGTTTTTATCCCCATTTTAAATATGCTACCAGAGAGGCACTACCACCATCACAGTTTGGCTTGGCCTTGGCCAGCAGCATGTCCATTCTGGAGCCAGCTGGAACTGGCTCTGTGGGACATGAGGGAAGCTTCTGGCATCTTCCCACAGAAGCCACTCCTGTAGTCCCTTGCAACCCAACCTTGTCACACAAACCCAATACACCATCACATCATATAACTTCACCTACTAAAGGAAAATGAAATGCTTAAAGATACAAGAATACTTTGACTAAATATAACCAGGGGCTTTTTGGGAAAACCAGAAAATTGTTATTCTAGGCAAGAAGAGGTTAAAATTCATACCACAATTTTAAAGTTGAAAGTGAGAAGATCTTGAGAGAAGAGAAACAACAGATTCCTCTAAAAGAAGAGCTCAATGACTGATGCACTGCCATGGCTGTGCAACTCCAACCTAAATGTAAAGAAAATCTCTTAATTTCCTTAACTGAGGGAGTGTATTTACAAAAACTGACAGACAGTAGTTCAACTATTGTAAGAAACTGTGCTTTTGAAATTAGAGGAGAGAAATGTGAATTTGAAACATCATTTTAAGCATAAGGATTTTTAAGTCTTTAATATCATTTTTGAAATACATGTACTTACCTTCTACTGTAACTGGCTGGTCTTTTCCCAAGATGTGTTCCTGAACAATGCCCAGCCTGGCACTACAGCTCTTCTAAGCCTATGTTGGAAGCACATTTTTACAAACCTACAACTGGAGTACATTTCAGCATGGAATCTTAGCTAAAAATAACAGTAGCTATTCATATTTAATGTTTGGCTGAAATAAATGTCTATTTATGGTATAGTCTGTTTTCTCTGAGATGTCAACAATAAGTAATATTATTTGAAGTGGAATGTTCTGTTTAATATTTAATAGCATGTATAATGAAACTTGTGGGAAAATATTGAAATGTCCCAAAAGTATGGAATGCCCATCATCACTTGACTTGTACTTCAGAATACTGCTGGATGTTATCATGCATATACCTAAGAATACATGACTTAGCTTTATCAAGGACTTAAACAATAGATATTTTAATATATTGTATATTATACAGTAAACCTAAATTTCAACTTGTGTCACTATGACCCAAAAAAACTCTCTTGATGTTATCATTTACATAAAGAGGATGCTTGATGAAAATCAAGTCTGGAAGGATCTAGAAAGTTGTCTTTCAGAAGCCAGTGTAGCAATCACTCAGCTCAGAGTCAGAAATTGCATTTTGTATTCTACCAGCCAAGTTTCAGGTTCATCACAGATGAAATCCTGCTACCAATTTGATTATCCACATAAGAACTTTGTTTCCTGAAGGGATGAGTCAGAGGTCAAGGAAGTTGAAGCTTACTCTAATTTCTGATAATTTTTAACACAGATACAGCAAAACAATGGTCTTTTAAGGTTTTAATATCTTAATTCATATTAACTGACTTAAAATAAATTATGTTATGTGTATTACTACCTAGTATAGCATCCAAATAGGAAACTGGTGTTACTGTGGGCCTTTTATAAATTAAATACTTACTTAAGTAGCACCTCTTAAAACATCACCAGTAAAGAAGAACACTTCATAAGACCCCAAATACCCCTTTTTTGATGGGTTAAATTATAATTCTATCAACACATAAAAGTTGTACTGCACAGAATCTAGGGACACAGAAAGAAATTTAAAAGATCAGGTACAAACCTGACTGGTTGCTTGCTGCTTATAGTGTCCAAGTGCAAACAGTGGTCTTTCAAATATCTTATTTCCCAAGATACATTTATTATTTACAATCCATAAACATTAAACAACTAGATGATGACTCAGATGTAAATAGTTACTTATTAAAAAAAAAAAAGTAGGAGCTCATTTACAAATTCCTGGATAGAACATTAGATACTGATAGCAATTTATGTAAGAACTAGCTGTTGTCTCACAGGCATTCACACAACAAATAACTGAGATGAAGAGATTTATATATCATGAATTCTTAGGTTAGTCTAAACTTACTGAAGACTAAACCAGTCATCTGACTTAGGTGTGTGAAACCCGCCCCCACAAAAATGTTTACTGCATTTAGACTGTCAATGTCAGGGGTCTGAATTTAATCTAAAGGAAATACTGTAAACAGATTGAACGTGTAATTTTTATAAACTTTGGCTCACATGTTCTTTTATAAAAGATGTATTTTTGTATAATTAGTGGCAGCCACCTATATACACTTATTTTACCTTTTGAAGTTCTACACTACATCCTAACAGAAAAGAAGCACAAAGGTGGGAAAGGTTTCCTAACAGCCTTCATTTTATTTTTCAGTTTGATACTATCTGTCCAGTTAGCCTTCTGGAAAACAAAAATTAAGGAAATTATACAGTCAAAATCATACGTTCTGTTTTAACGTTTAATAGCAGCTCTCAACTTGGCTGATCTTCCTCTTGGGTTTGTTTGAACATCCTTGGCCTGGGGTGTGAGAACTTTTTTCTGTATAAAAATCCACCTCGAGTTGGATTTTCCATTGGGAAATTCTTCTGTATCTTCTTTGGAGCCATTCCTGAGAGCCTGTCTTATCTTCTGCCTTGAGCCAAGATTGTACTTTTCTGTCATGTCTATTCCGTGAAGGAAACGTTTAATGATACGATCTTCCAGCGAATGAAAGGAGAGGGCTACAAGGCGACCTCCGGGTTTTAGAAACTTCTCAGCTGTCCTCAGTCCTATAAAGAGTTCATGGAGCTCATCATTTACAAATATTCGTAGGCCTTGGAAAGTTTTAGTAGCAACATGTGTAGGCCTCTGAAGCAAGTCTTTTCGTGCATACAGTGCTGACCCTGGAAATGCACCTGTTGTGAATGTTAAAAAGTACATCTTAGTATCTCGTTATTTCTACATTGTTATCCTGACATTAAACAACTCATGCACAACAACTTTACAGGAAAACATACTTACACCTGAAGCCTGACTAGGGAGCTTCCTTCTTTATATCTTTGCTTTCTGCTTTGAATTCACATTTCTGAAAGTAAGCCCTATGAAACTGACCTGGCTGGTGGTTGGGTGTGATTTTTTTTCTACCGTCTTTCATAAAAATTTTTCCCTCAAAGTTTTGCAAAATTAACATGCAGAATGATGACTGAAACCAAAACAGGGAAAAAAATCAAGATGGGCTTTATAAGTCCTGCACCTTACAGCTCAGTATTGACTACATCAATTTCAGTATTTGTGGTGGTTCATTTTATGCTTTCAATGACAAAAAAATTAATATATGATGGGCATATGATGTTAGCAGTTGCTTCTAGATAATCATGTATTTCTTCACAAGCAGAGATAAGATGAAGACAGTGTCTATTTCGTGATAATTACTTTTCAATTAATTACTTAAAGAGGCATCCTTATTTAAGAAACTGGTGAAGAAATGCAGCCACTTTGCAGCTCTATGCTGTCAACCCCCCCAAACTAAAACCAAAATCAAATAATTTTCAAATTCAAGGACTTACTGGTCTGTCTTCAGAGACTGGGATTAACTCATAAATGTAATCTGTGGTAATAATTTCTGTCACACTAGCCTTCATTGTTTTTATCTGTTCCAGGGGTGAAAAATTTTCCTACGCCTCTCTTAGTCCTCTGGTATAGTTAAATAAAAACCTATTTGTGCTTTCTGCTAAGGCATAAAATCTCTCACCCAGCCTCCTCCAATTACCATGACACTAAAAGAAAATCCTTCCTGGTAACAGGCTGTACAAAGTACAAAATTATAAAAAAAAATCTGGATGGGAAGCTTGTAAAATGAATTTCATTCATAAAAACACCACGCTTCTGGCTAGATGACTGGTTTGAAATCCCAGGGAGAGAAATTACCATTTTCAGTTTTGTGATGCCCTGATGCTACTCACACTTTAAAAAAATCTAATAGATTCACATGGTGAAATGTATTGAAATTTTAAAGCTTGTGAATGAAATTAGCAACGTGTTGTGCCTGTCAATATGAACTATTAAAGTCCCCAGAGTGTATGAGAGTGGGAAAGTTAAAAAATTAATTCAGATGGTGCACCTGTTTGCAGGAATTTGTCTGTTGAATTAGCATTGCATTTAATAAGTTTCTGTGACGCAACTCATGTCCTTTTGTCTGGGCTTCCTCAGTACAGTCCTAATTCTCACCCATCTGAAATTCAGGAAATATTACAAATTCCAAACTGGTAATTAAAGACTGTAAATGTGAACCAATGCAAACCAGACTGGCTTTACCCACTGAAGATCTTTTTACTTTCCAAATTTTGTTAGTATCTCATCAATTCTTAAGTCCAAATGATTACATGATCTCAAAATTACCTGCTAAAAGATTAGGTACCTAAATAACACTGAGAAAAAAATAGGTTTTGAACAAAATCTAATAGATAACAAGGTAGAGTACCCACTGAAAAGAAATAAAAATAGATCATCAATTGTAATGAAAAAGCATATTAAAATGACATTCCAAAAATGTCACTATTTTTTACCAGTTTTCTTGCACATTGAGTTAGATCTACTGTTTCCAGACAACTCAATGAGCTAGCAAAAGCCTTCAGGAAGTGTTTCTCAATCAAATTCCACACATCTATTCACAGACCTTCAGTTAAGAACTATTGATCAAATCTGCAAAACATTCATCATTGCATGTACCTGTGTGTAAATTACAGTGAGTAGTTTGTGCTGCAGGAAGAGATGATGTTTGCATGACAGAATAGAAAACTCCTCCTTTTTCCCATGTAAACTGTAGACTCTGTAGCTCCCAGAGATCTCCTCCTTTAAATGGATCAGAAGCCTTTTGGACAACATTTAGAAAAACAAAAAAAATTCTAAAATTTTTAGATTTTGTTTTGTTTTGTTAGGAGCTTATTCACTGGCACAGTATGTAGAGAGATTACCTTTGGGCTCTATGCCAAGAAATAAGAGTTATTTCCTTGAACTGGAACAAAGAAGAGCAAGGAAACATTGGCATACCTGAGTTAGCTCCAAGCTGTTGTAGGCTACTTGACATACAAGTCTTTTAATATATTTTTTCAAGCTATACCTTAAAATTATAACTCTTGCTAAGACAAACTTCAGAAATGTCTGATCATTCTGTGACTCCTGTGGAGCTGGTTTTTTTTTTCTTGTTCTTTCATGACATCCTTAGAGTGATGGTGGACAAGAAGCTCAACATGAGCCAGCAAGCCAACCTTGCATTCTTCATAAAAACCCCACACTAAACATACATGTTTTATGTCCTGACAGATAATGTGCTGGATTCACTGTCTTTCACATGTATACTATTATCTGCTGCATACCTGCTTCATGTATCAAGCTACTCTTCAAATATAGCAGAGTTTAAACTGAGAACAAAAAAATCCTCACTGTCACAGAAAGTGACCATTAAGTGATGACTCACATGCAATACATTAAAGATGAAAGGATCTTAAATCACTGTCTTTTATGCAATAGTATTTTTATTTTCTCAGTTCAAGCTAGTGCACAAAATTATTTCAGAAGTCACCGAGTTGCTTGTTTACAGCCTATACTATATTACAACTTTAGCATAGCAATTTGGTTACTTCAATCTCAATAATGGTACACTGCTTTAATCAGTAGTTTTCCAAAAAGTAAGGGATATATGTGACAAAAATATAAATTATTAGTTTGTGATGTTGATGACTATGACTATATTAAAAATTTAACTCTTCAAAGATGTATCAGCTACACTTTGGGCCTCAGTTGCCCAGGGAGGGTGTGGAGTCTCCTTCTCCTGAGATATTCAAGACCCACCTGGATGCAGTCCTGAGTAATGTGCTCTAGGGGATCCTGCTTTAGCATAAGAGTTGGACTAAATGATCTCTAGAGGTCTCTTCCAACTCTGACAGTTCTGTGATTCCGTGACTGGATATTGTATGCAAGTATCTTGACTTAAACAAATCCATCTCTTTAATTTGTTTTCAGCCATTAAAAATAAGTCCCTTAAACTACCAGTTTAATCTCTAGAGGTCTCTTCCAACTCTGACAGTTCTGTGATTCCGTGACTGGATATTGTATGCAAGTATCTTGACTTAAACAAATCCATCTCTTTAATTTGTTTTCAGCCATTAAAAATAAGTCCCTTAAACTACCAGTTTAAGTCATATTTTTTTTTTTTAAGTCTTCGGGATACAAATACGATATTTAACACTATTATTTAGCAAATGTTAAATTTGGATAGCCATAGCCTTTAAGGAGTTTTTTAAATTTAAAGGAGTCAGCATTTTAGACAAGAACCACTAATTTTCACTTCTTGGTTTAAAGAAATCAGAATATCTCAACATTATGTATTATAATGTTAACAAGCAGGATTTGTGTCTTATATTTTTCCTTTAAGTTTTTCACTTGAGAACACACACATAGAAATATGAGCACAGTTCTTACCTAACTACATTTTGTTCAAGTTGTTTACAGTGAAGAGCAAGTAAGATGAAGTACTTCAATAGTGGTTTCAGGCTGATCTCGTTGGCATTCACAAGGTGAGGAAAGCTATATATTGCCTCACTTTCTGCTTTCTGGTTCTTTAAGCAGGTACAAATAATCCGATTTCATTCATAATTCAAAACTGCCATGGTACATCCCCTCAAAATATTACAATGTAGAAATGTAAAACTAAGAGATCTGTCTGATGTATCTGGTATTTAAAGGTTTATCAATAGCTGGGATAAAGAATTCCCTAGGGTGCTGTCAGACAATGTTTCAACTCTGTTGGCAAAATGATAAATCTTTTCATGTAAAATCTATTATTAAATGAATCATCAAACTAAAATATAAAAGATGGGAGCTTAAAAAAAATAAAATAAAAGGAGAGCTGACATCAGAGCAGAACAGGCAGGATTAGATCCTGCATGATTTCCAGTACAAATAGATCCCTCTGGGACTTGGGGGGATTAGTATTTTTTTCTCTCCTCAGCCACCGTGAAGAATTAATGAGAGTACCTGCAACAATGCTTGCAAGCTGCTGGGTCCTGGTGATGGGGTAGATGCTGCGTGCCTGAACGATGGCTGAGGCGATTTTCCTGGCGTGCCGCTCCTCCCCGTACGTCCTCAGGATGGACGCAAGCGCCTGTTGATCTAAAAGGTTGACAACATCGGCAGCCGTGGGCACGTCGGGGCACCTACGCATGAGGGCAGCCAATTAGTTCCCTGACGTCAGTTTGCATTGACAAGAGGTGAAGCTTCATAGCATTGAGACATAAAGTCAAACACGCACACACGCTGCATACAAGTGCCTTTGGGGTTTTCAAGTAAGACACAGCAACCCTCTGAAAACAGATGTAGCCTGCACCTTTTACATCCTTTTCTCTTGCTACCTGAAATGGAGTTTGTGCCTTCACATCAATTTCAAAAGCTGGAACTTCCAACTGTTATCATTAACTATGCTTAATGAGTTGACAAGAATAATATTTCAGTATCATGTAAAAATGGGAATGCTGTGTGACTTTTTATATAGCTAGCTGTAGAATATAAACTTTTCCCTTATGGGTTCTTTTTAGTCACCTTGCGTTATATATTGTTTTCTAGTCAGCACTGATCTTTTCTTTTACATCCCCTACTATGAAAACTATTGCTCATGAAAATAATTTAGATTTAATTTGCACTAAAAGGCATAGGAATTTATATCAAATATGTTTTGAGATAATAAATAGAAATCACCTAATGTTACAAATGACAGGAATCATGACAACATCAATGGAACAAGCCATAAATTTATTTCTTTTAAATCTCAGCCACTTCACTACTGCAATAGTTTGGGGTATTTTTTTAACGTCATATATGGGTTTACTAATCTGACAAAGCATACAACCTACTCACTAAGTTCTCCTCCACAAAGACATGAATGTGCAGAATATTTTCCTGCAGTATCTTACAAAAGATAACAAAACTTAGAAATCAGAGGCAAGTAGTATCATAGCAACAACTACAGTGTAAGGCTTTTGTTGTGCCACAGGTATCCTTTGTTCTTATGCTCCAGTTCCACGTATGTATTCTCATGATGCAAACACAAGCCTGGAGTTCATATTGTTGAAATCTGAGGGCTGAATCCCAGAAGGATCACGTGAGCTTTTTACACAAAACTGGAAAAAGCAAATACCATGAAATTTGCTGTGTTAAGACTTAACATTAATGTGTGAATTCCTTCGAAACTGAGGCTTCCCATCAGCTCTATGTGAATAAAGAAAGATCAAATGACACTTCTTAAAACTACAGGTTCATCAAAAGACAAAGCAAAAATTTTCATTGTCCCAATAATGTGTTATGCAATTACTGCCATCTTCTATAAAACTGAGATCTTTGGTTGTTCGTGTAAAAAGCACAATGCTACAGAAACGTACTAGGCTGTTTGAAGATGAAAACTGCTAAATACATAGAAAGTATCATTCCACCATTGATTTTTACACTCTTGAATGTACCAAACACTAATTTTAATAGTTTAAATAGAGGCGATTTATTTAGTACTTGTTAATTTGGCAGTTAAGTAAGCCCGATGTGCATTCTACACAATGTGAAAGGAAGCTTATGATATTGCAAAGGAAAGCTTACAATAAATCTACAGACACATAAGACAACATTATACTAGTGTGTTAAAAGATTGCTGCTGTTTTCAACTGGCAGGTATCATGGCTGAGATTTTATTTATTTTATACTAAATTTCTTTTCGAGAGAAGTAACTAGGTCAGATGGCCAAGACAGAAAAGAGAGAGGTTGCTCCTTTCCTGAGGGAGCAACTGAACGTGCTCAAGTGAAGATTTCACAAATAGTAAGTGTGGCAGAAAAGGGACTGCAGTAAGGGGCTGTGAGCCTGTAGTCCAAGTACAGTCTGAGAAACTGCAGAAAAAAACAGGAAGACAGGCCTCTGAAAACGAGATGTCTCTGTAACTGTACACAATATACTCCAAAAATGTACAATTGTAATAGTGTACGTAACAAAAATTGATTTAATTATCACTGGAGAAGGAAAAGAGGATAACCAGGGTTATAAGTGTTAAGACTGAGAAAAAGCTTTGTGGGGAAAGACAGTCTGATAGTGTAAAATTAGATGTGGATTGATGACGAGAATTCTTCAATTTAAGGGTAAAATAAACGCACAGGGGCTGCTGAGTACATAGCTTTTGAGTTTCAAGAAGAAATATTTCATTAACAGGTACCTGTCACTATCCATCCTCATGTCCAAAGGTCCATCCTTCTTCAGGGAAAAACCTCTTTCAGGTGTATCATATTGCATAGAAGAACAGCCAGCATCGAAGAGAACTCCGTCTAGAGTCCCTGGCTCAACTCCAGAGGAGATTAACAAAGCCTCTGCCTGGCTAAACTGTCCAAGAAGAGCTCGAATCTGCTTCCTGTAAGAAAATCACAAATAAATAGCCTCAGTTTTAGTTGTAACAGTGCTTGTATAGCAGGAATTCAGCTAGTAGTGCTCACTTGGCTCAGAAGCACTACAGCTATTCCCATAGTAATAGTTTAAGTACTTTTCACATGTCAAAATTGAAAACTAGTCCAACCCACCCCTCAGCAACTACTTAAGTTTCTTTAACCCTTTACTCCCTGCTTGATCTCAAGGAAATGGAAACATGACTAATACTTCATTTTTTCAACGTGCAGGAACCCAAAGGGACACCTTCCACATTCCAGGGGAATGCCTGGACCACCAGGGTAAGCATTGCACTGAGCAGGGACTTTTGTCAAGTGATGCCAAAATGGAGAAAAGAACAAACAGTTCTTGGACCTAGAGGAGAAGCAGACAAGGTGGAACATGACTGCATAGCCTTGTGGTTAATACTGACCTGGCAGGAAAAAAATCCTGGCTTCCTGCCATAGGATAAACCCACTTCTTTGTTGTTGTTGCATTTATTGTTCCAAAAAATAATTGGGCAAAATTAGTCATATTGGATCATAAACAGATAAAACACTTCAGTGTAGCTTTGCTGCAGGCACGTAGTCACTGGGGAGAGAAGAGTTTGACATGCATTTTTGTGCCTAGCATTCTTCTACCTTAGATTTAAAGTGATTCTTGCTTAATATTCCCACGGTGAGGAAGGAAAGTAGCACAGCAAGTGAGAAGATGGCACATCTCTGAGGTGCCAAACTCTTTCTTGGGTGTCTAAACCAGGACCTTTAATGCTTTTTTATATATAGGGTAGCCTACAATTAAATAATTCATCTCTGTGTCAGTATCTCAATGAATTTCCCAAAGAATTAGAAAGGTTAACCAACACTTTGCTGCATTTTTAACCAGCACCTGCAAAACACAACATATTTCTGCCCCTAAGAAGTCATCACTGCCTCCATTCTGAGTTTTGATGACAGTTTGGATACCTACTCCTCAGCAGGGTGGCTTAGCATTCAAATGACTACAAGGACCACAAGGGCAACTCACATAATTTTATTTGTTGCATGGCCAGCAGTGAATGGATGGAGAGAGCAACTCCTTTGACTGTTTCAGCTACAAAAGGACAGCTGCCCATCTACCTTTTGACACTTCAGCACTTATTAATTTTGAAAACAACCAACCAACCAAGCAACTATCTAAAATTTCAGCTTAAGTCTGAATCCTTCTTTCAGGCCAGTTTAACATCAAGACAACTGGTACTATGACACAATTTTGTCAACTCCAGTAACTACAGTTTTAAAATAATGGATGAACAGGCAATCAGAACCTTTTCTACACCCATCCAGTTGAAGAAAGAAAATGCTACCAAAGGGAAAAAAAAACCACACAAAACAAAAGGAAAACAAAACAAGAGAAAAAGTTCCATTAAAAAGAAGATGTTATGAACACAACCATATGGAAGAACACTTAGCTACACAATGGTATCCTCATTAGAGCAGAATGAATCAACCTATTTAACACAGCACAAAAACTGGGAAATAACTTGAATAAACAGATTTCATGAGGGGTTTCATGATCACACTAAAGCATTTTTTAATTCATTACTGTCCAGCACATAATTAAATACACCTACTCAGCTTAATGAGAACTGACAGTTCCTGAAAAGCACAACGATCCACTTAATGTATTTAAACCAATTTAAGCAGTAAAGTTACAGCTTTGAGATCGTATTTTCCCTCAATATAATGAGAAGAATTTTCCTAAAAATCTGTCCAATTGGGCAGTGTTTCTAACTTTAAAATTTTCTAACTTTGTGCAAACCAATGAACTTTAAAATTCTAGATGTGGGAGATGAAAACAAATGAGATCGGGAAAAAAATCATGAATTGACATTGCCTAGTTCCCCCAGCAGACAGTGATCCCTGCCCTACCAGTCTCTATGAACTAGTGCTGTACTGTGCTACCAACCAATCTGAGAAAGTATTCAGAACTAGACTTATAACTTGCTAGAAATTTGATAGCATTTCTTTAAACAAGTCCTAAGTATATGGATAGCCATGAGGTTTGGGACAGTGGTGGAGAGATGCTTCAGCTGGAAAATGTTTTGCAGTTTAGAAATAAAAAAAAAGCTTGAAAAAGAGTTGAGTGACATTTTGATGTCAGCCTTTCAGCTGTGTGAATTATAGCCTCTGTATATAACCTGTTATACACTGTATTTTGTGTAGCAATAGTGTATATAGGTGTCCTGGTGAATATAAATCTTTGCTAAAAACAAATGTATATTAAATGTTCAAGCTAGATCTCTGAATTCCTATTTTTTTGTGGACTAGAAGAAACTGTAAGCACTTTGGGTATCTCATACATTTCAATTCATCAAACCAAGTACACAGCTATGAAAGATTTATTACCTTATTACAGGATATTTAAATATGAACTCTTTTTTAATAGGATAGTAACAGTGATGATAGTGATGACAAGGACTAATCTATTAGATTACTAGCATGACAGATTCAAAGAAAAAATATTGTACTAAGCATTCAGAAACGTTTATTAGAACAGAATAAAATGCTTCCCTTATCTACTTCTCTTTACAACTATGTTCAAATACTAACTACCTGTTACATACATGATTTTTCTCTAAAAATGCCTAATTTAGTCTCAGGTTCTTCTGCCCTCAGATTTTTGCTTACACCATCTGTAAATCCTGTTTCCAGAATAACCTAAAATAAATAGTAAAAGCTGTGTACTCTACGTTAAAAATATTTCCTACAGTCTCATGCCTTCTGTTCTCCCCAGGTATGCAGAAATTGCTTTCTCTTCCTGGTGTTCTCATATTTTCTTTGGGCATTAGAGGATTTGTGTTCCATGAACATCCTGACATGGTATAAGAATCTGTCTATTACACTTTCTGTCTTAATATATTGCAAAAACAGTGCTTAGTGAAAAAAGCAGGAAAGGTGAATCAGGGAATATCCTTAAATACCAAACAGAATGCAAAGCTAGTAGTTCAAAAAAAGCCCAAGAAGAGAGAGAACAGCAAAACATTACACACTCAGATCGAATGGGTTTTGGGGATACTATCAAAAGCTGTTAAAACTACAATGAATGCCAGTGAGCATTTCAAGTGATCTATGGAAGTTACAATCTAACTAAATCCAATTATCTTAAGACAAAATATTTTAACTTAGCACTTGAAAAGCACTTCATATATTCAGAATATTTTAGAATGAAGAGTTTTTAACCCCTCTCATAAATGGAGAAGTAAGATTTGCAGGGTTTAATACTGAATTACTTGAAGAAACCCATGTAGAAAGGTACAAGAATTTCAGAGATTTTGGTCTGAGGATGTCAAAGAGCAAACAATATCTGTCTTATGTTTAGATCTCATTTGGCATTTGTGTGTGGTAAGAGCACAGTAACTTTTGATGAACTCCCCACTGCTAGTCAAGTACACTAACTTCCCAAAATACTCAACATGCTCACTCTCTCTTTTATTCATTTTTCCATTCTCTAAGAAAAAAGCACTCAAGAATTTAAAAGAGCATTGGGAACACAGACAATCTACCCAATTTTAAATATAATAAGACATTTATTTCAGCTGCTACATATGCTGTTGGGACCTTAATAGAATTTATTGTGCAACAACCTCCAGAGCTCACGGAATTCTTGTGCTGCTTGCTACATTGGAAAAAAAGGCACAACCTTGGGTTGAGGGCTCTTTGTTCCAGTTATAATACAGTATTTTTTTATATTGTACTATGACATGTAGCATAATAATTCTGATAGACATCACTAGATCCACACTTCTCAATTATATGAAAAAGCAGAATGAGAAGAGTTCAAAGTCTCCTAATGTATTTCAGGCTCTTCTGCTTTCAGTTCACCTCTGGTATTCTACAATGCTTTATAAAAATATCTTTTTTATTTTACTCAGATGAGAAGGTTGCACACAGAAAAAAACCTCAAGCATGAATATAACTTCTACAAAATAAACAGAGAAATTCATTTCCCTTATCTAGTTTCCCTCTGTTGTCACAGAGGTTGCAGTGACATCAATCATTCAAGTAATTTTACAGAAAAGTACAATTATGCTTTCATGGTGCTTCAGTGTTTTTTATGTATATATAAGATTAATTGCTCTCATTCTTTCACCATTGCTGCCCTTACAAATTCTATGTATGAATGCACAGAAAGTCAGGAGTGATGGTCTCTTGTCAACAGTAACAACTACCTTCTACTCCACCAGAATAAACAGTTTCTTTGAAAGTACTAGAGACAAAGTTTGTCAGCCAACTCTTGCCAACCCACATCAAATGAGGAGACCAACCTGGTGCTTGCTTTGGTTCATTTACTCCACTGAGACTGCCACCAGGGCTGCCAATTAGCACCAGCTGTAATGACTATATTGGTGCAGACCTGGTTTGATATCATTGAGTCACTTCACCCAGGTCACTCAGCAGCTGTTGGCAGCTGAGACTTCCACTCACAGCTGCATGGGCCAGGCACACCTATAAGCAAACTACAAAATACTCCCCAGTGCTAAGTTCCTAATGAACACTGTTTCTCTCTGGCTAAACCACAGATTAAGGAGGTAATTTCTCCTGGGCAAATAGAAGACTAATACAATAAGGCCAGTGATTATTGAGGCAGATTTCAAAATTACATGCCTCGCCAAAAGGTATTTTTAAGTTTCCTAAGAAATCCAAAGTCTTACTAAGTAATAAGAGCAAATTATATGATTTTATGCAATTTACAGCTAACCAGAGTTAAAACCTTTGTTATAAAATACATAGAAGTGTTAGGCATGCCATCTCTATTACATAACAGATGTAAAATATGTTAATATGCTGTCATCAGTCAGACGTGAAACAAAGGCAAGCCATTAGAATGATCTGTTCTTCATTCATGAGACCTGACAGCTCAAAGGAAATGACATCATCCATTAGAAGAATCGTAAATATGTCTCTGACTTCACATTGCCCCATCTGGTGATTTCAGATTGAGGTATAT